CCGTTCTCTCCTCACTCCCGAGCCGTTCTCTCCTCACTCCCGAGCCGTTCTCTCCTCACTCCCGAGCCGTTCTATGTTTCCTCGCACATTCGGGCCAGTTGACGAATCGACAGGCCCCGCAGCAGCTGACTGGGGTGCTGTTGTACCCTTGAACGTAGTGCTGGATATCAGTCGCCTTAGAAAAAAGGTCAAGCCTCCCTTTCAAAAAAAGTATCAAATAAAGAGTAATAATGATTGTCACGGTAATAAATATTATACTTATAAAAACAACAAACATGCAAATAAATAAACAGTGATAAATACTACACTCTTAAATGAATGTGTAAGCTGACAACAGTCACCTTTATGACAAAGACTATTCAAGGGCAGCAGATTATACTACAGGTCATTCTTACCAGCAGCTGTCAGACTTTATAATACAGTATTTTTTTATTTTTATTTTTTTATAACACAGTTTTAGCGTGAGTATTTTCTACTCATTTACTGTCTAACGGACATATCATATGTCTTTAACTGCTGTTACCGATTTGCAGCTTGAGTGTACATTGTATATTCACCAGGATCATTCACACCCCACCCCACCCCCACACTTGTGTACATGTGTCTGTACATTTTGTACATCTCTCTGTACATCTTTATTTATTTCTCAAACTTTGGATGTGTGTATAGACAACTGACCTACCTGCTCTTGTTGTTCTACATTACTTTGTATAAGAGCTCTGTAACACCTAAATTTCTCATTCGTGGGATAATAAAGGTTTATTCTATTCTATTCTATTCTATCCTATTCTATTCTATTCTATAACAAGTCTTTAGCCGATTCTGCTCTTACTTACCTTTAAATTGAAGTGAAACAGGCGTGCTTCTGTTGCCCCATGTTAATTGCTATAAACTTTGGGTGACATTGCATTACCAGTGAATGGTCTCACTGGGGGAGTCGAGCCACAATAAGGGTGGCCAGTTTTTGGTTTTCGCCAGCGTTTCTGGGCATGCCGCTCCCTGGCGGTAATTGGTGTGTGCTTTGAGCGCCACGCGATAATCAAAATCCGTGATTACAAGCCACACTTCCCAGAACAGGAGTCCGGGTGAGGGGGGGCGGGCTGGGACAGCTCACTTCTAGCCATGGTACCGTAGATAATGGAACCCTAATCATTTAAATTGAAGTGCTTAATTCTCCGCCATCAAGGAGCGTAATCACATCCCAGAGGGGAAGCTTTGATTATTTGGCCAAACAATGAATGTGGAAGAATTTCAGAAATGCAAATGGCGTTTCCTCTGGTGGGCGGCCCTTAAATGGGGGAAAGATTAGCGGCTTCCCTTCCGGGACACGCGAGACACGCACACATGTGCGCGCCTGAGCCGCGGGAATGTCACCGCCGGACGGTCAGCCGAGGTCCTCTGTGCGGCCCAGTGCTGTTGAATTCGCAGCCACCTGACTAACTGCTGAAATGCTCTGTCCCCCGGGAGAGAGAGACCGACGTGAGGCGTTTGACGTGCGAACTAAAACAGCGTCTGGGAGGGATGAAGTCCTGCCAGACAGACGTTCGGCCAATCACAACGGCGCTTGAGCATGTGAACGCCACATGAATGCCAGTGGCAGGTTGCTGCCCAGTACCTGCATGCCATCCAATAGGCTGTGCTACCGGTGACATCTGGCAGTGCGACCTGATTGGCTGTCAGGCGTGACAGGAGTGCTGGGCCCCTTTCTGTATGCGAGTCTGGATGTCCTTTAGATCCCTATGGCTGTCATCACTAATGATCAGGAGCTGCGAGAACTCAGGAATGCAGGAGAATAAAAGAAAGAAAAGCCTTTCCTTCAATATTATTTTGTTGGATTTTATTATTAATTCCCTATATTTTGCTTTGAAGGCTCACGTGTTTGCGTGTATGTACATATTTTGCATATTGTAAGCAGGGGGGACATATCTTAAAAAATTATCAAAATTTCTGCCCATGGGACATTTTTCTGCTTTGTAAATGACATGCATAATTCTGTCTAATTATCTGGATCGAGGTTTTTGCATTCTGTTAAATTTGTTACATTATGCCATACATGTGTTATAATTATTGTTATATTCTGTCCTGTCGGATATGAATAATACCATCATTTAACTGCAGATGTGCTAAGTTACGTTTCTCCTTTGTATGTCTGCTAATATGCGTATGCTAATAGCTAAGCAGCCAGTTTTCACCCTCACTCCTTCTGTCTTTCCCCTCCCATCCTGCAGAGGGCGCTGATAGGCCAGCGTCACCAATGCCACCCGCCGTGGCCAGAGGGGTGCTGCCATCCGGCGCTGGCACGAAAGTGGCAAGGGTCACGGAGGACACAGAATGCCCCGCCCCACCTGCTGCCAGCCCCCCCTCTGAGGCTGATGCGGAGTCGGAGACGGAGGAGGAGAAAGCCAAGAGGCTCCTCTACTGCTCCCTCTGCAAGGTGGCAGTGAACTCCCAGTCCCAGCTGGAGGCGCACAACAGTGGTGAGATGCTCCGCCCCCCAGTTAGCCCCGACTCTCCCTCCTGCTTTATCTTCACCCTGTGTGTGTGAGTGTCACTCAAGTTTCCTCCCATGGTATAAAAGGCATGCAGTTAGGCCAACCAGATACTCTAAATTGCCCACAGTGTGTGATCGTGTGAGTGCACGCCCTGTGCTGGGCTGGCATCCCATCCAGGATGTCCCCTGCCTCTCACCCTGTACTTCCTGGGATAGGCTCCAGGCTCAATGTGACCCTGTACCGAATAAGCGACTGTAAGACAGATGGATAGCTTAGCAATTAGTGTCAGACGCCCCAAGACGTCACCTTGCATGGAAGTGGAGGCTAGATCAGACCGCAGGTGTCCGTCGTCACCCATCGTCCAACTTCGTTTTAGGTACGAAACACAAGACAATGCTGGAGGCCAGGTGCGGCGGGGGGTCCATCAAGTCCTTCCCCAGGCCGGGGCTCAAAAGCAAGCTGGCGTCGCCCACCAAGACCGCCACGGGTCTGCAGAACAAGACATTCCACTGTGAGATCTGTGACGTCCACGTCAACTCGGAGACGCAGCTCAAACAGGTTGGTGATGAAGCCTTTCAAAGGCTTATGAATGCTGATGAATGCTCATAAATACTTACGATTGCTAATGAATGTTTATAAGTGCTTCTAGTCCTCTATTCTGTTATTTTCGTGGTTTGGGTCGCTGGCATGTGCACAGCATCTGCGCCTGGCCACCGTCCATAAAGAAAACAGGCTCTCTTTTGAATATTCATGGGAACAGAGTGTGGAGGGACTAGCGGGGACATTCGGGAACACCGGGACCTAGTCACAGAGAGCGGTCCCTGTCGTGTCCTGGGAATGCTGTCCCAGGCTTCTTGGACCTGTGAGCTGCTCCTTCCTTCATCCTTATCCGTGGTTTATTTCTTTCTTTTCCAGCACATCAGCAGCAGGCGACACAAAGACCGGGCGGCAGGGAAGCCAGCCAAGCCGAAGTACAGTCCCTACAGCAAGCCCCAGCGAGGGCCTGCCGCACAGACGGTACATGGCCGCCACCCTTAGCGTAGCTGCAGTCGTGTATGTGTCCGTTAGCTTAGTGGCCGGCCGGTCTGTTACATAACGCCCGCAATGAACTCCGGCAAACTGGGCTAGGCTGCTTTCAGCTGTTTGCTCTGTACTCTGACTGGAAGTTTGTTGGTTTTCTGACCTGGGCGCCAAACGGAAGAAGCCATCGCCCGTTTGTCAAAACACCGCTGAGCAGATGAGCCCTGTTAGTATTAGCGCAGTTAGCATTAGCACTGTTAGCATTAGCCGCTAATGATGCAGGAGGCTCAGCCCTTTGTCCAGCTGCACATTGGCTCTGGAGATTGACATCGTTTCTGCTCTTCGCTGCCTTCTTTCTTGCCTCCCAGGTTCGGTTATCGCTGAGGAAGGGGCTGGAGCTGGGGAAGCCACTCACGGCGAGGCTGTTACCGAGCCACCTGGCCGCAGCTGCCGCAGCCGCCGCCACACTACCAGCCTTCTCGCTTCGCTCAGCCCCAGCGGCGGCCCTCTTTCAAGCACAGCCCCTCCCCCAGCCGCTCCTCCGCCCCGCCCCCGGGCCCATCCGGACTGCACACGGACCTGTGCTGTTTGCGCCCTACTGACCCAGGCCTCCTCATCCAGAACTGTGGGCCATACCCTTCTGAGTCAGGTCTGACCCCCCTCCCAAACTCTGCGTCCCCCTCTGTATCCTTCGCACATCTGAGCCGTTACCCCCCCCACCCCCGGATCGGGCCACTCTCCAGGACGTGTGTGCCACCTAGTACTGCAATAATGTAAAGACTAAACCAGAAGCTATGCAGTGTTGTTTCAGTCTGGCACAAAGATTTATGGGATGGAATCGCCACCCTGCATGGTGTTTCTGAAGACGATTCCTGATGTGGTTAGAGATGGCAGAAGCTGATCACAGTAACAGCAGGACACAGACCAGAGTGATGCCTGTTCCAGACTGACCTGTGCCGTCTACTTGTGTCTCTAAATGCAACACATTTGGAAATAAAGTCTTACTTTGTTAACGTCTGTCGGTGCGTCATTGTTGCCCATACGACATGGCCCGTGGGAGCCGGGTTTGCTGGCTGGCGTGCGGCGAAGGGGAAGTTGGGCCCACTGGCACGGAACGCACTTGCCGACAAAATCCGACAGAGTATTGGGTTGTCTGTTAGCTGACGGGGAGACGGGGCACTGCCAGTGTCTTAAACCCCCTCTTAGCTTTGACATTTCCCATGGATGAACCAGGCAGCCTTTAATCGCGCCAGACAGTGACAGGTATCTTTCTGTTTCTCAGCTGCTGACACTTCATGTCTCTTTATGACCCGACAGCATCGGAAATAAAATCTTGACCTTGATTGTGAAATATTTCCCCGGATGGTGTCTTCCCAGGCAGTTCCTGGCTCCGGAGGGTGTAGTACTTAATCCCTCTGCTCTCGTCTGGCCGTCCTGTCTTCAGGTTGTCCTGGTCTCACACTTCCAGGCTCTAGGATTCAATTTCCAGCCCTCCAGTTTCCTCCTGTAGTCCAGCGACATGTGGTTTAAGCGACTTGCCGTCCATACTGATGTCCATTATGATTGGCTGGCATCCCAACCCTGCCATGTGACCCATACTTCCTGGGTTAGCTTCCAGTCTAATCAGGACCCCATATAGGATAAGCTGTTCCGGAAAAATCTTCCCAGACTTAATATATTTTTATGATATACCTTCCACCAACTGTCAAACACCACCCACTGCTCTATATTCATGCCAATTCTTAGTTTACTACTTTTTCTGATAAAAAATGTCACAACTTGGGTTTTAAGCTGCAGAAACCCTGTTGACCACATTTCTTGAAAAATGAATCTGACCTCGACGATAAATAAAAATTAGAAAATCTCGTCCTCTTTTGCTCATGAGAGTTTTACTTATACAAAAATGTTCAGAAGGGAGGAAAATATTATTGGTTCAGCGAGATAACTAATCAGATTGTAAAGGAGGTGTGTCCAAGCAAATAGAAGATGCAGTACCAACCAATCAGATATCTTGGTCCTGCCTCCTTGAGTTGCTTGGACCCACCTCCTCTACATTCTGATTGGTTATCTCTCTGAACCAGCTTCTCTTTGCCCCTGCTCTCCTGGATGAAACGCGCTTAACAGAAAGTTTATCTGGTGGATCAATACACATCTCCAGTG